AGAGAGACACACACACGCAGGATAAGAGAGAGAGAGAGAGACACACACGCAGGATAAGAGAGAGAGAGAGAGACACACACACGCAGGATAAGAGAGAGAGAGAGACACACACACGCAGGATAAAAGAGAGAGAGAGACACACACGCAGGATACAAGAGAGAGAGAGACACACACGCATGATAAAAGAGAGAAAGAGACACACACGCATGATAAAAGAGAGAGAGAGACACACACGCATGATAAAAGAGAGAGAGACACACACGCATGATAAAAGAGAGAGAGAGAGACAGACACGCAGGATAAAAGAGAGAGAGACACACACGCAGGATAAAAGAGAGAGACACACACACGCAGGATACAAGAGAGAGAGACACACACACGCAGGATAAAAGAGAGAGAGACACACACGCAGGATACAAGAGAGAGAGACACACACACACGCAGGATAAAAGAGAGAGAGACACACACACGCAGGATAAAAGAGAGAGACACACACACGCAGGATAAAAGAGAGAGACACACACACGCAGGATAAAAGAGATAGAGAGACACACACACGCAGGATAAAAGAGATAGAGAGACACACACACGCAGGATAAAAGAGATAGAGAGACACACACACGCAGGATAAAAGAGAGAGAGAGACACACACACGCAGGATAAAAGAGAGAGAGAGACACACACACGCAGGATAAAAGAGAGAGAGAGAGACACACACACGCAGGATAAAAGAGAGAGAGAGAGACACACACGCAGGATAAAAGAGAGAGAGAGAGAGACACACACGCAGGATAAAAGAGAGAGAGAGAGAGACACACACACGCAGGATAAAAGAGAGAGAGAGAGACACATACACGCAGGATAAAAGAGAGAGAGAGACACACACACGCAGGATAAAAGAGAGAGAGAGACACACACACGCAGGATAAAAGAGAGAGAGAGACACACACACGCAGGATAAAAGAGAGAGAGAGACACACACACGCAGGATAAAAGAGAGAGAGAGACACACACACGCAGGATAAAAGAGAGAGAGAGACACACACACGCAGGATAAAAGAGAGAGAGACACACACACGCAGGATAAAAGAGAGAGAGACACACACACGCAGGATAAAAGAGAGAGAGACACACACACGCAGGATAAAAGAGAGAGAGAGACACACACACGCAGGATAAAAGAGAGAGAGAGACACACACACGCAGGATAAAAGAGAGAGAGACACACACACGCAGGATAAAAGAGAGAGAGACACACACACGCAGGATAAAAGAGAGAGAGACACACACACGCAGGATAAAAGTGAGAGAGACACACACACACGCAGGATAAAAGAGAGAGAGACACACACACACGCAGGATAAAAGAGAGAGAGACACACACACGCAGGATAAAAGAGAGAGAGACACACACACGCAGGATAAAAGAGAGAGAGACACACACACGCAGGATAAAAGAGAGAGAGACACACACACGCAGGATAAAAGAGAGAGAGAGAGAGACACACACGCAGGATAAAAGAGAGAGAGAGAGAGAGACACACACGCAGGATAAAAGAGAGAGAGAGAGAGACACACACGCAGGATAAAAGAGAGAGAGAGAGACACACACGCAGGAGAAAAGAGAGAGAGAGAGACACACGCAGGATAAAAGAGAGAGAGAGACACACACGCAGGATAAAAGAGAGAGAGAGACACACGCAGGATAAAAGAGAGAGAGAGAAAGACACACGCAGGATAAAAGAGAGAGAGAGAGACACACGCAGGATAAAAGAGAGAGAGAGACACACACGCAGGATACAAGAGAGAGAGAGAGAGACACACACGCAGGATACAAGAGAGAGAGAGACACACAAGCAGGATAAAAGAGAGAGAGAGACACACACACGCAGGATAAAAGAGAGAGAGACACACACGCAGGATAAAAGAGAGAGAGAGAGGCACACGCAGGATAAAAGAGAGAGAGAGAGAGACACACGCAGGATAAGAGAGAGAGACACACACGCAGGATAAGAGAGAGAGACACACACGCAGGATAAAAGAGAGAGACACACACGCAGGATAAAAGAGAGAGAGAGAGAGACACACACGCAGGATAAAAGAGAGAGAGAGAGAGACAGACACGCAGGATAAAAGAGAGAGAGAGAGAGACAGACACGCAGGATAAAAGAGAGAGAGACACACACACACGCAGGATAAAAGAGAGAGAGACACACACGCAGGATACAAGAGAGAGAGACACACACACACGCAGGATAAAAGAGAGAGAGACACACACACACGCAGGATAAAAGAGAGAGAGACACACACACACGCAGGATAAAAGAGAGAGACACACACACGCAGGATAAAAGAGATAGAGAGACACACACACGCAGGATAAAAGAGATAGAGAGACACACACACGCAGGATAAAAGAGATAGAGAGACACACACACGCAGGATAAAAGAGAGAGAGAGACACACACACGCAGGATAAAAGAGAGAGAGAGACACACACACGCAGGATAAAAGAGAGAGAGAGACACACACACGCAGGATAAAAGAGAGAGAGAGACACACACACGCAGGATAAAAGAGAGAGAGAGACACACACACGCAGGATAAAAGAGAGAGAGAGAGAGACACACACACGCAGGATAAAAGAGAGAGAGAGAGACACACACACGCAGGATAAAAGAGAGAGAGAGAGACACACACACGCAGGATAAAAGAGAGAGAGAGACACACACACGCAGGATAAAAGAGAGAGAGAGACACACACACGCAGGATAAAAGAGAGAGAGACACACACACACGCAGGATAAAAGAGAGAGAGAGACACACACACGCAGGATAAAAGAGAGAGAGAGACACACACACGCAGGATAAAAGAGAGAGAGAGACACACACACGCAGGATAAAAGAGAGAGAGAGAGAGACACGCAGGATAAAAGAGAGAGACACGCGCAGGATAAAAGAGAGAGAGAGACACACACACGCAGGAGAGGAGAGAGTGAGAGACACACACGCAGGAGAGGAGAGATTGAGAGACACACGCAGGAGAGGAGAGAATGAGAGACACACGCAGGAGAGGAGAGGAGAGAGACACACACGCAGGAGAAGAGAGGAGAGAGAGACACACACGCAGGAGAAGAGAGAGACACACACGCAGGAGAAGAGAGAGACACACACGCAGGAGAAGAGAGAGAGACACACACGCAGGATAAAAGAGAGAGACACACACGCAGGATAAAAGAGAGAGAGAGAGAGAGACACACACGCAGGATAAAAGAGAGAGAGAGAGAGACAGACACGCAGGATAAAAGAGAGAGAGACACACACACACGCAGGATAAAAGAGAGAGAGACACACACGCAGGATACAAGAGAGAGAGACACACACACACGCAGGATAAAAGAGAGAGAGACACACACACACGCAGGATAAAAGAGAGAGAGACACACACACACGCAGGATAAAAGAGAGAGACACACACACGCAGGATAAAAGAGATAGAGAGACACACACACGCAGGATAAAAGAGATAGAGAGACACACACACGCAGGATAAAAGAGATAGAGAGACACACACACGCAGGATAAAAGAGAGAGAGAGACACACACACGCAGGATAAAAGAGAGAGAGAGACACACACACGCAGGATAAAAGAGAGAGAGAGACACACACACGCAGGATAAAAGAGAGAGAGAGACACACACACGCAGGATAAAAGAGAGAGAGAGACACACACACGCAGGATAAAAGAGAGAGAGAGAGACACACACACGCAGGATAAAAGAGAGAGAGAGAGACACACACACGCAGGATAAAAGAGAGAGAGAGAGACACACACACGCAGGATAAAAGAGAGAGAGAGACACACACACGCAGGATAAAAGAGAGAGAGAGACACACACACGCAGGATAAAAGAGAGAGAGAGACACACACACGCAGGATAAAAGAGAGAGAGAGACACACACACGCAGGATAAAAGAGAGAGAGAGACACACACACGCAGGATAAAAGAGAGAGAGAGACACACACACGCAGGATAAAAGAGAGAGAGAGACACACACACGCAGGATAAAAGAGAGAGAGAGACACACACACGCAGGATAAAAGAGAGAGAGAGACACACACACGCAGGATAAAAGAGAGAGAGAGAGAGACACGCAGGATAAAAGAGAGAGACACGCGCAGGATAAAAGAGAGAGAGAGACACACACACGCAGGAGAGGAGAGAGTGAGAGACACACACGCAGGAGAGGAGAGATTGAGAGACACACGCAGGAGAGGAGAGAATGAGAGACACACGCAGGAGAGGAGAGGAGAGAGACACACACGCAGGAGAAGAGAGGAGAGAGAGACACACACGCAGGAGAAGAGAGAGACACACACGCAGGAGAAGAGAGAGACACACACGCAGGAGAAGAGAGAGACACACACGCAGGAGAAGAGAGAGACACACACGCAGGAGAGGAGAGAGACACACACGCAGGAGAGGAGAGAGTGAGAGACACGCAGGAGAGGAGAGAGAGACACACACGCAGGAGAAGAGAGAGACACACACGCAGGAGAAGAGAGAGACACACACGCAGGAGAAGAGAGAGACACACACGCAGGAGAGGAGAGAGAGACACACACGCAGGAGAGGAGAGAGAGACACACACGCAGGAGAGGAGAGAGAGACACACACGCAGGAGAGGAGAGAGAGACACACACGCAGGAGAGAGAGTAACACGCACGCAGGAGAGGAGAGAGACACGCAGGAGAGGAGACACGCAGGAGATGAGAGACACACACGCAGAGAGAGAGAGACACACACGCAGGAGAGACACACACACAGGAGAGGAGAGAGACACACACACACAGGAGAGGAGAGACAAACACACACAGGAGAGGAGAGACAAACAGAGCAAGGGAGAGACACAGGCACAGACAGAAAGACACAGGGAGAGACACTGACAGAACCACTGGGAGAGACAAAGGGAGAGATACGAGGAGAGACAACTTCACCTGCATCTCTTCTTGCACCTGTTCTAGGTACGTGTGCAGAGTCTTATTCTCATTCTGCAGGTCCTTCAGAAACCCTGCACACATGCACACATTGCACCAGATACTCACTTCATGGTGAGTAGACCTAGGGGAGGCCCAACACACACAAATAGAACCAGACTCGCAGACAAGATCCTTTGGTCTCCCTCGAGGCTGAATCGACCTAGAGAATGCCCACAGCCAGTATAGATAATCGCTATCCGTGATCGGGAATCAAACTTGGATCGCTGGGTTCATAGCGCAATCAAATAACCAGTGCGCCACCGCTCACACACACAAATATCCGCCATATTGCCTTCACACTGTTTGGGCAAGCGCTGTTAGTGAGCACCTATGAAGGCCGACATGGCACACGAAGGGGTGTGTGGCCAGCACCACGCCCGGCTGCCTTTTGTCTCTCCAGTGGCAATGTTTACACATCACACCAGATACTCACTGAGAGCGAGTCGACCTGGGGGAGAGGCCCAGGACTGATTCAGATAATCGACACTGGTGTTGGTGGTAGCCACAAGTGGGAATCAAACTTGGATCGCCAGATTCATAGCACAGTGCACTCACTGCTACACTGCACACACTCATGCCCATACACACACGCAGACCCACACTCCCACAACTCACACCTACACACTCACAGACCCACAAAAAACAAAGATTCCCCGTATGGCCTCTTAACAGGATGTTGGGGCAAGCGCTGTTAGTGAGCACCTATGAAGGCCGACATGGACACATGACGAGGTGGGTGACCAACATCACTCCTGCCTGCCTTTGTCTCCCCCATTGCTGATGTTTCATGCACACCGCATAGGACCCGTTCAGATCATTGTTACCGTCACCGGGTGTTGGTGGAATTGAGTGGGAAATGAATTCGGGTCTCTGCTGCGGTTCGTGGCTCAGCACAGCGTGCTAATCGCTGTGCCACCGCTCCTCACAGTGCACGTAGTGCCAGGTGTGGTACGGTGATTATCATCACCTGAAGCACACCATGCCTGATACTCAGCCTCCCAGTAACAATCAAGCCTCCCGGTGCCAAGCCTCCCGGTGCCAAGCCTCCCGGTGCCAAGCCTCCCGGTGCCAAGCCTCCCGGTGCCAAGCCTCCCGGTGCCAAGCCTCCCGGTGCCAAGCCTCCCGGTGCCAAGCCTCCCGGTGCCAAGACTCCCGGTGCCAAGACTCCCGGTGCCAAGACTCCCGGTGCCAAGACTCCCGGGGCCAAGACTCCCGGGGCCAAGACTCCCGGGGCCAAGACTCCCGGGGCCAAGACTCCCGGGGCCAAGACTCCCGGTGCCAAGACTCCCGGTGCCAAGACTCCCGGTGCCAAGACTCCCGGTGCCAAGACTCCTTCACACAGAATTCCCCCCCAACTCCCCCACATTGTACCCCCCAACCCCCTCCCCACATTGTACCCCCCAACCCCCCCCCCCCCCCACATTGTATCCCCCCAACCCCCCACAAATTGTACCCCTCCAACCCTCACACAGTCCCCCTCCTCTGCTGCCCAACCTTTCTGCCTCTTGCCGGGCATGGTGGGTGAACCCTCCCCCTCCTCAGAGTCCCCGCCGATGGTGGACGAGGAGGAGAGTCGGCAGAACGAGAAATCCTTTGTGGGGTGGGCGGAGGCGTAAAAGATATACAGACGGACGGACCCCTCTTTCACGATGTTACAATGCATGAGTTTACCACGTAGTAGGCTTTCGCGACCAATATCTATTCATAAAAGTGAAATTTGTGAATGTGCCTGTTCAAAATGTTTAGCATATTTCCCGACATGCAATAAACTTGAAATTTGGCATGCGGGTAGCTTCCAGACTGTATACAATGCAAAAAGCATAAAAATAGACTTTAGCATTTTGGGGGGGGGGCAATAATGGATATTTTACACGGCAAGTGAGCGGTGATATCACATCTGCGATGTCACCCACATGCGGAAGCGTACGCAGTGTGTCTGCTGACGTCAAGCATCCCCACCCTCCGCGTAGGCCGTGTATTAATCCAAGACAAGAATCCAAGTCTCGGGCGAAACCGGGTAGTAAAGCTAGTTATTCATAAAAGTTTTTTTTGGGTTAGAACACATAAATATAAATGTGTCGTTAAACCCGCCGCAGCCAATTAGTAAGGTTTGTCACATAAACAAAACGTGGCAATTAGTTACGACTAGTTAGTAGCGTGAAATTTCGCCGATTACTACAACCAGCTTCAGGCGATTTTTGCAAGGATTGTGGCAGAAATTCTGGACATGGGGCAGAGTGGGTTAGTATAGTGGAGGGACACACAGAGACAGGGGACAAAAACATGCGCGCGCGTGCACACACAGAGAACCACACAGGACAGCGACCGAGACAGACGCACGAACAGTCACAGGGTGGAGCAGGTTGGTTTAGCATGGAGACACACGCACATGGGTTGGAACCTGTCCCATGCTGCAGTGACTTTATTAAATGAAACAACAGCGAAAGAGCGGAGGACTCACCACACTGCTGCATGTACTCGTGCTAAGCAGCTTCCGCTTTGGTTCTGCACACGCGCACACACACACACACTAAGCAAAGGTCCCCCGTGTAGGCGCAACAGACTATGGGGCTGCCGAGTATGATCCTACCCCTGGCATTGTGTGCAAGTGTATTGTTGTGCCATGTATGCCAGTAACCAACCACCACCAAAACCAACAAAGTGCACAACTCATGGAGGCACTCCACACGTGGGGATGATGCATAGAGAGAATCTGAGAGGTGGTGCTGGAGGATAGGGAGGGACTGGCCTTTATAAGCAAGGGATGAAGACGCACAGACATAGAAAAATACTGAGTAGCCTTAACAGGCTGTTTGGGCAAGTGCTGTTCAGAGTAGCACGAATGAAGGTCGGCACAGCACACGAGGGGGTGGATGGCCAGCACCACGCCCAGTAGGGGGTGGAGGATCTTGGACTCGCCTTTACCCAGGCTCGTCTGTACCTTTGGGTCCCAGGAACCGCTCCCCGCGAGGGAAAGAGACGGCTCCCTTCGTCTTTGACGTCGTCTCCACATCGTAGGTGCCCGGAGGAGGAGCGCAGCCTGCATAAAACCAGACACACAAAACACCAGCCTTGATGAAGGCCTAATAACTCTAAACACAAGCCACCACCGCCACGTCTCACGAACCTGCGATGCAGCAATCCACCCATTTCATCATCGCTCTATCTCCTCCCACAGTAGTCGTCACACTCCTCTAAGTACCGGTCCTTGGCTGCCTCTCTTGTTATTAGCGGCAGGAAGACAGCAGAATGAGGGGGAAGGAATCACCGCAGCTAAGATGTTGGGGATGACAAGGTGGTGATAATGAGGGGAGGAAAAAGGAAGAAGCGTGTCAGTTTTCACAGTGGGCAGCGGTGGGGAGAGGGGAGGGGTTTAGAGTGGGGTGACCACACAGGAGTCGCGTGATTTACGGAAGGCTTGAGCAGGTTTAGAGAGATGGATGTCATTAACCTGTATTTATTCTCTAATCCATGTTTTCCTCTCCCGTCTCTCGATGAAACCATCATGGTCTATCCACTGCTGGATGAACATCAATATGACGTCTTTACCCCGTGTCTTTTATAATCCACGTGTTCTCGTCTCTCAGGTGTAACCATCACCATGGTCTATCCACTACTGGATAAAGATCAATGTGATGATGTCTCTACTGTGTTCTCTTATCCACGCACTCCTCTCTTCACCTCTCTCGTGTAATTCCCAGCATGCATCTCTCCATGTTTCTCTACGCCCCCTTCAGTTTTTCTTCCATATTATCCAATAAGGCCCCAGTGCTTTCTAAAAACTGACATTGATAGTGAAAAAACAGAGCGATGCACCTCCAGAAGAGAGTTTTTAATGTATTGCAGATATGATTTCACTCGTTTACCCAGGGAAACGTCACCGAGTCTCAAGTCTCTTTAAGGAAGGTCCTGCCAATTTTTGTTCCCAGAAGGGGGAGCGATGTTGCTGCTGTGTGGTCTAGCCGAGAGGCACCCCCAATGGCAGCTGTCCCTGTGCATTAGTCTTTTGCCAGTAGGGGGAGCAATGTTTGCCGCTGCAAGATTCTAGTTGGGGAATCTGCAGGGGATTTTTGTTCAGCATTGGCGATATGGGTTTTCCCAAAAGCAGTTCCACTGTGCGTGTGGGTTTAGCTATGGGGGGAGGAAAGCAGAGAACCCGGAGGAAACAAATGCAGAACAGGGGGAGAAAGTACAAACTGCGCACTCTTACACTATTCATGTCTATTCACCAACTTGGGTTCTCATCAGGAGACGCGTTTACAATGTGATTCTCATCAGGGCCCCATTATGTAAACAGTGCAGCCTCCAACTATTGGAATCAAGTCATCTCTTTTCAGGCCTCTCTGTTCCTGTGCCATGATAAAGATGGGCCATTGCGAGAGAAACAGACGGAGACAGAGATACAAATAGTGGAGGCATCCAGATGCAGGGCTTGAACGTAGGATCTCAGTGTCTCCAACACGGTGATGGCGCGGTGGTGGCGAGATATGAACTACCTCGCCTGGTATACAAGAAGTCATGGGTTCGATCCCGACCCTGATACCTGTATATTTGGAGTTTGCATGTTTCTCTCCCCGTGGTCGAGTGGATTTTTCTCTGGGTCCTCCAGTTGTTCCCTCCAAATTTAAATTCAACAGCTCGCGTTTAAGAGTATCTGGCTGTTATATTTGGGGGCTATCATTTGTGGCCAGGTCGCGTCTGAAAAAGAGCTACTGTATATAGCTCAGTAGGCAGTATCTGGTAAATAATTATATTATTGAACCCCTAAGCGCGACACACACAGACCCAGGCTGTACAACGTCACGTGCGCATGAAACTGTACGGCCTTACAATGCAGAGTCTATTCTGGCCTCTCAACCTATGCACTATATGCTTAGTTTTTTCGGTAAAGTCACGTTGAAGAGAAACAACAAAATAAGAATATATATAACAATAAAAACATTCTCACGACGTTTCGACCATAACTCAAACGGTCATCTTCAGGTTATGGTGGAAACGTCGTGAGAATTTTTTATTGTTTTATATATATTTTATTATTTTGTTGTTTCTCTTTAACGTGACTTTACCGAAAAAACTAAGAATATGAATTACTGCAGTCACGAAAGCTTTAAATCAAAACCTATGCACTGTTGAGCTTTTCGCACCGTATCGGAGATGCGATAAGCATTTGAGTCACTACCCGAAACGTCGAACACTGTCAGTGCCTACCTTATCAGACCAATTCAGACATTATTGGTCACCCTGTGCACATCTCAACGTTCATCCTACAAGTCCCATTACAATGGAGAAACACCAAAAAAATGGACAAAATTTTTTTGCCCGTATTGAAACGGCTGTACGCCGTATGGACATGCAAACTCAATTTCCCTGTACATGAAAAGGGGGTTGACAGCTTTGGTATCCATTCGATTGAAGGCCCCGCACGCGTTTGGGTTTTGTATCGAGGGGGGTTTCTGGGCTGCTGGGACACGTGGTGGTCGAGACGAACAACGGAGAAGTAGCCAAGAACGGAACGCGTCCCAAATGGAGGACGTCCACCGTCGACAGACCATGGTTGATGTTCACAGCTTAATTACACAGCATTGCCCTAGCAGCCTGTTAGGACAAGTGCTGTTAGCGAGCAACTATGTATGGCATACGAGGGGGTGGGTGGCCAGCACCACACCCGGCCGCCTTTGTCTCCCAGTGGCGATGTTTACACATCGCGCCACACTCATGGGGAGGCCCAGGACCGGTTTAAATAATAACTACGACTGGTATTGAGCGGGAATCGAACTCGGATCGCCGGGTTCGTAGGGCGGCGCGCTAACCACTAAACCACTGCTCCCCCTAACACGAAACTCACCATAGACTATACAGTACCTACATAATCCACCACTATAGCCAGAGTTAGATAGATCATGACCACAGCTTAATCGCACGCAAAAGTAAAGGCATCCTGTATAGCCTACGCCTGTTGGGGCAGGTACTATTAGCGAGCACCTCCGAAGGCCCGGCCGCCTTTGTCTATTCCCCTGCGTTGCTGCAGTCGTTGATTTATTACACATGCACCAGGGACTCATTTAAGGCAGAGTCGACCTAGGCGAAACGTGAACAGTGCAGCGCTAACCACTCACTACGCCATCGCTGCCTCAACAACGCGAACAACACTGCTTAAGCAATGGAGCATCCCAAAAAACCCCACACTTACCCAAGTCGTCATTGAAGCGTCTCAATGGCGCCCGTGGGAAGGACATCCTTAAGTTTGCAACGTTACCAACAAATTAATAATTGCAAGCCGAGTGAGTGATAATCGTCTGGCGCTGAGCAAGTGTCGTCCGTTGCAGACAGGGTCAGGCACCAGATTTAAATTCTGCATCACGTGACCGCGGCCCAATCAGCGGACGGCATCCGGGGCGCGAGCTGAGTCGTGGAGGAGTTTGTAGGGGGGGGAGTTAGGGGGAGATCCCGCGCTGTGATTGGTCGGTGGCGAGCCGGGTGGGCGGAGTTGGGGGGGTGAGGGGCGATCAGGGGGGTGGGGGGAACTACGCGCTCTGATTGGTCGGCGGTGGCCGCTCGGATTTGAATTCGTAACGGGCTCCCACGCGCCGTGGTTTTTCGGTTGGGTTCTTAGGTTTCTCTTTAGATTCTTAGGTTTCATCATGTGTATATAAATTATGCCTGAATGTTTCATTGTCAATTGCATATTCACTGTTATATATGTAGTTACGATGTAATTATTACTGTTATACATGTAAGTATGTATGTTATCCATCAATGCATAAACGTTTTATTGTTACACTAGCTTTATGACTCCGTCAGTGTTGTGAAATGTGTTACGGTTCAACAAAAAAGGGAAGCATTGTTAAACGAATACGTAAGAAAAAATTGTACATTTGCATGTGACATTGTAAAAAACACTGAATAGTAAATAAAACATGAAATCAAGTTACATGAATAGAAACAAATCCGTTTTACCTTGAGTCCTGATGCTGGCTTGCTTGTTGGAAGCGGTGCAATGACTCACCACAATTTCATTACCAACACCCGCCATTCGCCACTAAGTGGCGGTGGCGTCACCACGGCGCCTGTGCCAGGCTCGGTGCATTTTGAGGCTAGGTGAAGTGTGGAAGGCTCGCTGACAGGAGGTCTCGGGACAGGCCCAGGTGCCAGCTGTACCCCTGTGCCAACTTGCTGTATTTTATCCGCCCGGCGCTCCTCTCGTTGTGAGGGTCGCTCCTCTGCCCTCCATTATTGCTGGAGGGCGACTGCTTCCAACTGCTCATTAGCGTTTTTCACGAGCCTCCTCCATAGAAGCCGATCTTAACACCGCCGATCTTGACAGCGTGCTCGGCAAGTTCGCTTTGAACCGCATCAATCCATCTCTTTTCCAGCACATTTTATTCCCATTTAGGCCCCTCTATCCGGCCAAACAGAAGCTGCTTGGATATGCGGTGGCTGGGCATCCCAACGCACGCACATACAGGCACACACATACAGACACATCAACGACAACGATCCCCCTTTATAGCCTTAAATGTGGCACTTGCTGTTAGTGGCCAGTGCCGATTGAAGGCCAGAATGGCACACGAGGGGGTGAGTGGACAGCACCACGCCTGGCCACTTTGGACTCCCCAGTGGCGATGTTCACACACCGCACCAGGTACTAATTTGAGGCTGAGTCGACCTTCAGGAAGCCCAGGACCCATTCAGCTAATCGACACTGGCGTTGGTTGTGAGCAGGAATCAAACTCGGCTCGCCAGGTCGGTAGCACAGCGACTTAACCATTGCACATCCGCTCCCCATACACACACGAGGCACGCGCGCACACGCAAACACTCCTAGCGCGAGGCTGACTCATTACATCTTGTGGGGGATTGCTCCGCTGAACAAAATAGTTACGCAGTTCATTTTCCGAGTTCGCGTTTTAAGTCAATGTTCAGGAACAAAAATATATTTAATGGGAGCTGCTTCTTAAGTGTGGGTGTTCGTACATCGAGGACTGTCTTGTACTAAGACAATGGTAACTCAAGGTCTGATGGAGACATTGAGACAATAGAAACTCAGGGACTGATGGAGACTGAGACAGCGGGATACCACCGCCTTCAACTGTTGTTGTAGTTGTGGCTTTAGTTGTACATGTATGTTGAACTTCTTTCGCACCGTACATAGCCAACCGTGCTAATCGGAGGTGCGGGAAAAGCATGCAGAAACCATGGCGGAGGCCTTCACCACTCACTGTGTGCCCACACGGGATCCCCAAACGTCTCATCACGGACCAGGGTACGGAGTTTGAGGCTGCCCAGTTCCAGTCTTTGCATCAGCGCTTGGAGATCACCAAGTTGCGGACCATCGCCTACTATCCACAGATTAACGGGATAGTAAAGCGGTTTTACCGGTTTAACCGTACCTTGTCCACCAAGCTGTCCCATATGGATGGAACCAACCAGAGGGGTTGGGTGGGATCAACATCCTCCGTACACGCTGTTCGCATAACGCACCACCCCACATGCCTCGACCCAGAAAACGGCGTTCCGGCTGACGTTCAGCCAGGAGCCCCGGATGACATTTGGAGGTTGAACATCCGCCATTGGAGGTTGAACATCCGCTCCACCAGCTGCTGGATACCATCCAGGAAGTGTAACGGCCAAGTCTGGAAGGTGACAGGGGAGACCCGACCGCAACCAAGAATACAGCGCAAGGCCAGGGAAGATGGGTAAGTTGACTCGGCCCTCGCATGGTTCCCTGAGAGTGATAAGGCCCATCTCTAAGTGGACCGTGGAGATAAGGGGAACAGGGATCTCTCGTACATCATTGGCCAACGCTCGCCTACCAAAAAGGGGGTATCCCTTGCCTGGTGGTGAGGGGGGGGAACTCAAGTCGGTGTACCATAGAGTCACCGGTGGCAGCCCAAGATGCCACCCCATCCCCTGGTTCTGTGACACCTGATGGTAAATGCACGGAGTGGTGATCTACCAATGGGAGTGCCCTGGCGGGGCTGTACTGAGCAGGGGCAAGGGGGTGGTGGGAAATAAACGCTATGGTACGTGAGTTTGTTCCCCCAGCAGGTAACTCGTGGACAGGAGTGCAGCAACGGGTATGACAGCGGCAGCAGGACACAAATGCAAGGACCACCCTGGCAGCCAGACTGGCCACTGCACCACTGATGAGGCTCCCAGCCCCTATCCTGCCCCCGCGCGCCCAGCCATTGTCCCCAACGGCCTCGCTCTACCTGAAAGGCGCCCCATTAGCAGACCCAACAGCCCTCATTTAACCCCAGGACCTCTTGCCAGCGGACCCAACATCCCCCATTTTAACCTCGAACAGTCCGCCAGCACAGCCATTGGCCCCCATCTTGCCCCCAGATGCCCTATCAGAGCCCCTAATGGCCCCCAGCTTTCTCCCCAATAATCCGCAATTTCCCCTGACGGCATGGGAAACCGAACTCAACCAGGGTGGCCGAGCCCAGGGTGGCTACACGCTTGGGCCTCCCAGATTTCGTGGCCTCAGCCTTCAACTGGAGGAGCAGGAGTACACCGGAGCAAGAGGAGGCATCAGACCCAAGTTCCATGCTACCGCTGCTGCACACGCACCATGCAGACACTTAATTTAGTGGCTAGGACATCAGGCCTTCCCCCCCCTCAAGTCGTTTTTTTTTCACCAGGTGCCCTAGCATGGTCCAGACCACGGTTTTTTTTCAAGCGATGGGGGAAAATGGTTGGCCTGCCATGTGCCAATGCCGTAGGTGCCAGTCATAGCCGAATGAGCCTGCGTGAAGATGCTCGCCGGTCAGCCCAAGGGGATTTCGGCCGTGTAGTGGTAACTTGTGCGTTCCCTATGCACACACCTTGGTAGTCAGGCAGAAAATGTTATTGCTTATTAGGGGGGGATTAATGAGGACAGGTCAAGAGGCGAGTGAACAGTGGTGTCACATGGCTGGATATCAGCGTTAAAGATGTGGCCTGCAGATGCAAAGTGTGAGTTAAACTAATTTATAATTGCATTTTTATCAAAAAGGCATTTGCCATTGAGCAAAAGCCTTGGTGGTTCTCCATATTTCAGACGTTTATCTTGAAGGGGTCTTTATGATCTTCAATCAATGTTCGGGATCATCTTTTCAATCAAAGAGGGTATCCCGCAAATGAGAGTAGAGTAATACCCCAAGTTACATCTCTCTCTATTTTACGTTGTTTCGCAAATAAGTCATCACTTTTTTAACACCACTACTTGATTTCCGTCACCTCAACCCACACTTACGTCGCTGAGAGCATCGTCCATCCTTTCTCGTATCCGTCGCCTCTTAGCCTTTACCTCCACCTATCCTGTAAATTGCTTTGAATCACATCGTTTCGATATTCGCCGTCGCACCTTTCAGGAAGCATGCCCGGCGTAAACCGGGGTATTACTCTATTTGGTCTGCTGGACAAATTTGGTGCAGTGGTTCCTTAGGACTATTGTAGTTGCTTTAGTTTTAGTCCAAAGCAGCTTGCTTAGTGAATTTCCAAGCTACGTTTATGGAGCGGATGAGCTGGGCAATTTCTAGGTTGAACCAGGAGGATAGAATCCCCGGACTGAACTTTTTAAAGGGGCATGTTTGTCAACTCTAGAAAGGAAAGCATTTTGGAAGAAAGACCAAGCGGTGTCAAATTTGGGGATCTTACAGATGATTGGTCAAAATTTCAGATGTTATGAATTAAGGCCTGTAGTCAAAGGATTAGCAACACAGCACTACGAAACAGATCAACCGAGTTCCATTCCCACTTAGCCACCCAGCCACGATCAGCGACGAACATATGGATTGGCCCTGGGGTTCCCCTTAAATGTGTAAAATAGCACGAGGTGGTGAGATGTTATCTCTCTTGCCTAGTATGCAAGAGGTTATGGGTTTGATCCCGTCCCTGATGCCTGCTGTATATTTGGAGTTTGTGAGGTGAGTGTGTAGTGTGTGGGTGACTGTATAGAGTGGGTGAGTGTGGAGTGTATAGAGTGGGTGAGTGTGGAGTGTGTGGGTGTGGAGTGTGTGGGTGAGTGTATAGAGTGGGTGAGTGAGTGTATAGAGTGGTGAGTGTATAGTGATGAGTGAGAAGAGTTGGAGTTTCGATTTAAAGCTTTCGTGACTGCAAGGATTCATCTTCTTTGGTTCTTTCAGTAAAGTCACGTAGAATGAGAATAAAATAATAAATTGATAAAATAACACAATAAAATTCTCACGACGTTTCGGCCACAACACAAGCGGCCTTCATCAGGTGAAGGGACGAGACTGTCTGGAGGACAGCGCTGGAGTGAGCACAGCCAAGCTCAGAACACGACCTTTAAGCTGTGTGAGAAGAAACAGAGCGCCTTGACAAAGGAATTAGCATAGAATTTAGCATTGAAATAGCTCAGTGATTGGCTTGCGACT